GTTTTTAACTGACAAATCCATTTGTTCTCTAGGCTTTCTTAACTTGTTAATCTCACTCCAAAACTTTTTCTTATTTTCAACAAAATTTGTTGATAACATCTCACCCACTCTCTCATTTGCTCTCTTTTTACATTGCTTCACCACTCTCTTAACCTCTCTCTTTTTCTCCATATACTCTTCCCTCCTTGCATCACTTCTACTTTGTAAAAACTTCTCATATGCTAACTTTTTCTCCCTTACTGCTCTCTTTACATCATCATTCCACCAATCGCTCCTCTTCCCTCCCGCACCCACTTTCCTGTAACCAGAAACTTCTGCTGAACACTCTAACACTACATTTTTAAACCTACCCCACACCTCTTCGACCCCATTGCCTATAGAATTTATGAGTATATAGAATATATATAGTATAGAATTTATGAGTATATATACGTCAAACACGGTACCTCGTAAGACGTATATATACGGTCGTGACAGTCAAAGGGTTAATTGCATTTCAATTAATTTAAATGAGGAAAATTTATTCTGCAAACGAGCAAATCCAGTTACGAGCAAGGTCATGGAACGGATTAAACTCGCAAGTAGAGGTTCCACTGTATATCGAGTGATGCATGAACAATGAGTGACAATAGAAAAAGAATATAATCTCGTGGATTAAATTTTTCAAAGATTTTGGATAATGAAGGTAAGTTATATAGCTCTACAGTAATTTACATCTGTTAGGTCTCCACCTATGTATAATGGGGAGTAACCCTTGCTATCTTTAGTACAATCAGGAAAGTGTTGGTTCCTAATTTGTCAAAAAATATTGCAATAATGGGTGAAAGGAAACCATATGAGCTGCTCTTTTGAACAATAGCAGTGGTACTTGTCCTAACTTTCCTGTACATGCGGTTTCTTGCACTCAATTAATAAAGCAGAAGGCATACTAGTGAATTAGCTAAGAATTTGGTTGAATCATGTAACAACTTTCCTGTTATTCATTTATCACGCATTTTGTGTGCTATTACACCGTGATCGCATCTGTCGAAGGCATTCTGCGTATATTACATCTGCATGTTGATTGTCCTCCAGTGCATCCAAGACCATGTCATAGTGATCCAGCAGTTGTGAGAGACAGGGGAAATCTTGCTGTTTGCAGGTCTGTTGAGGAAGTGGGAGCTACACAACGTCTCGTGGAGATGAGATAAGATTTTATTTGGATTTTTAACCCGGAGGGTTACCCACCCAGGATAACCCAAGAAAGTCAGTGCGTTATTGACGACTGTTTGTCTTATTTCTATTGTGGTGAATTCAGTAACGTGTGGGTCCTGGTCTTGCAGGAGATTTATATTGAAGTCACCTGAGAGTAGTAGGTGATCTTTGTTCAAGCGTGCATCAGTTATCATACTTCCTAGGTTTTGACTAAATTAGCTAATGTTTGACTGTGGAACTCTGTAGATGTTTATCAATGTGAGAGGTTTTTGTAGGTATTTGGATTTGAATTTAGCTATTATATATTCCCCATGAGTAAATGCATGTTGCTACCAACAGTAACAAAACCTACAAGAGTTACGGAGACTAGTGTTTCCCTACTTGACCACACCTGGACCAACACCATATCCCCTTTAAAATCAGGCATAATTACAGATAATACCACAGACCACTACCCTACTTTCCTCATAACAACTCTTGGTAAATTACCCCAAGACACTACTAAAGTCACCTTCAGTCTTCACAATAAGGCAGCCATTAATAACTTCACAACAGCAGTAACAAACATTGACTGGCACACTGAGCTAAAAATCTATACAGATACTGACAAATGATTAATAAGTTTCTGAAAAAAGACCCAATTAACTCTATAACAAGCACTGCCCTAAAAAAATCTTAAACAAGATGACAGCTAAGAACTGAACAGTCCCTGGCTAAGCACCCATCATTCTCAATCCATAAATACAAATCACCGATATGAAAAAACAGTACAGAATGTCACAGTAACAAGAAGACCAAACAAAAACGTTACTGCATTCCTAACCAGCCTGATAAGAAGGGGCAAAAAAATTGTACTTGAAGAACTGAATATCCAAGCTTACGAGGTGATTATAAAAAAGACCTGATAACCCTATCAAATTCGGGAACAAAAAAAGATATCACGAAATAGCGAAAAAAAATTAGCAAAATGCTAGATGAGACCCCAACTCCCACCAACAGAAAACAGCAAACAGACTCAATGAATTTCTTCTCCACTATAGGACCAAAACCTGCCAATAAAATCCCAAGCTCAGATACCCACCAAATGACTACCTCACTGGCAACTACCCAAGCACACGTTCCTACTCCGACTAACCCATACAAGTCTCTCTCCCTAGTATCAACGCAACTAAAAAAGCAAGGCAGGAGATTTAAATACCTTACCACCCTTATATACAAAAAAGTGTCACAAGTGCTAATCACCAATCATTGCAAACACTCCTTTAACCAATCCATTGAATCCTCCACCTTCCCTACAGTTTTCTCAAAATAGCAAGGGTCCCACCCCGATCCATAAAGAGAGACCAAACAGAGTTGAATAACTACAGGCCAATTTCCAACTTACACCCTGCTCTCACAAAATCTAAATTCTACGAAAAATTTAATTCATAAACGAATCTACTCCTACCTCAATCTCCCAAAACATAAACTCAAACCCCTGCCAATTTTGGATTCAGCTAATAAAAATACCTAATGAGTGCTATTATACACATGCTAGAACATACGAATTACACAGGCAAATAGGAGAAAAAAAGTACGTCCCACTGGGGAACTTCCATTGACTTACGTAAAGCTTTTGATACAGTTGACCTATGACTTGCTCCACAAAATTGTCACACATTAGGTATAAGAGGGTACTCCCTCAACACTACCTCAATCATACCTCAGCAACATAAGCCAATATGTGTACGCAAATGGGGCCAAGAAGCTTCTTCCGCACAACCAATTACATTTGGGTGTCCCACAGGAAAGTGTCCTTAGCCCTCTTCTCTTTCTCCTATACATAAATGACCTACCAAATGCTTCGCAATACTCAAACCCACACTATTTGCAGACGCCGACTACATACGTCTTCTCTCACCCTAGCCCAGTCATGCTAGCCAATACTGTAAATACCCCGAATTACAGAAAATATCTACCTGATGAGGACTAACAAACTTACACTAAACATTGACAAAAACCTACTTCATTCAGTTTGGTAACAGAGTTTTTCTACAGATGCCCTCTTAACAAAATGATAAACGGATCAGCCTATCGACAAAGCTAACAGAGGAAAATTCTTAGGATCCACCTTGATAATAGACTCAAATTCATACATTTCATCCAACATATACAACAAATTTCTAAGAAAATTTCCAAGACTGTAGCCATACTATCGAAGATAACGGTACTATGCTCCACAGTCACCCCCTGGCCCGTATCACTCTCTTATTTTACCCCCTATCTCACCTATGGAAATTTGTGCATGGGCTCAACAACAATTAACCATCTCAGACCACTAATTACCCAACAAAAGGCTGCAGTTAGAATAACAAATTCCCACTACAGGCAGCACACGCTCCGACCAATATTCAAAAACACTCAACCTAACTCACATACAAAACATCCATACTTATTATGCACCTATTACATACATAGAACGACTTAACTCTGTATATTAACCCCTCCCTCAAACAACTCCTTGCCAACCTCAACAGAACACATGACCATAACACAAGTGCACAGATCACTCTTTGATGTTCCTCGAGTCCATCTCACGCTATCCAAAAACTCAATGCACATAAAAGGCCCCTAAAATCTGGAATTTCATTACATGTAAATATAAAAGATACACTACCTGTTTTATAAATTCAAGTCTCTTCTCCAAAGATCACTTACTCACTCCAAAACCCAAATAATTACTGAGAATAACTGAACCTTATAAATGTATATCTTAAATGTTTCTCACAATTATATCACATAAATGTTTAAACCTAAAACCCAATCAACTTTATTATTTTTTAAAATACACTAAGCTACCTAACCAGAATACTACTCCATTCGAACTGAGAATGTCAGCAATGCAAGCAACCATATAACCTGTCTTTGTAATACTCATTTGTGCTTTATAGTTATCTGTTTACAATAATGTTTCATCACAGATTTCATCATTGCTTAGTTAATCTTAAGTTAATTTTAAGCCAGCCCATAATGCTATGCATATAAGTGGCTTTGGCATGCTGCTCTTACCTGTATTTTTTTGTACCTCTGTATGTATGCTCAAATTACTTAATAAAAAAAAAATAAAAAATAAAATAAAATGGAACTGGCTTAAAATAGGACTCAAAGTGGGCAAATTTGCCAATGCATAAATTGCTCCCAGACCTTTAACTTTGTGCTTGTGTAATACCACAAGTTTCATCAAATTTCATATTTTTGGTGTCATTACTAATATGAATAGATTCTCTACCATTTCAGAAACTTTTTTTTTTAAATGCCAACACTGTCAGGACTTTCAATTTTGGGGTTAATTACCTGTAACAGTTATAAATAAAGCATCTAATTTGTTAAATGATTTTTTAATAAAATTTAAAAAAAAATCAAAATAAATGAGAAATGTAATTCAAGATAAACATTAGCATATTGCACTTCTGCATTTATATATTAATTTAGAAAAATATTTCCCTATAAACACTCTCATTACTACAGGTCCACAACCCTTTATCCGAAATTCTGAAACTGGAAAAGTTCCAAAAACCAAAGGTTTTTCGTGGAGTGTGGAGCGTCAGTCAACTCAGTTGCGGGGTCATGGCCACCAGCGTGAAAAATTCTGAAATACCAAAACAATACTGGCCCTAAAAGGTTTCAGATAAGAGTGAATGTGACCTGAATTAGAGTCCAGAATTTTTCCTATTATAAGACAGTGATTTATTTTAGTTTTTAAAAAATGTGTCTAATATGACCATAAATACAATAGTTATTTCATAGTGAAAGACAAAGCTGCTTACCAAAAGTTGTCCAGACATTTAACAGAGGTGAGGTTCCTGATATATGGTACAAGCTTGAATCAACTATATCATCCAGGAAAATTACATTTTCTTTTTATTAACACAACTCATGCCATGGTCACTCATAACAATGACATCCACAGTATCTCTCAGCTTATGTACAGTGAGCATTTGGTACAGATATCCGATACCCTCATCAATCTGTTGAATAGGGTTAATATCATTCAATGAATTATGATTTAATGTATGAAAAAGACTATGATATGCCCTGAAGAAATTGATCTAAATGAAATGTAATTGGCCACAGGTTACCAATTTTATCTACTATACATTGGACATGCACAGGCAGGTGTGAGTGTGTGAGTGGAGACCTGATGTGCTGTTGGAGTATTAGCAACGTAACAATTATGAAGGGATTCAGGTAAATCAGTTAGCCTGACTTGAGTCCCTGGAGGTGGAAATTACAGAGGGGTAATCTGGAGTGACAATTCATCCTCATCTGGCAAGACAAGATAGAGTGACAGTAAAATTTTTCTTCCTTATTTTTGAGTCACCCCTTACCTTGGTGGGAGTACGTCCTGGTGGTTAAAAAATGCATCTTACCATATACAATCCTTTAATGTAACAAGTTTACAAACAAGTCAATACCTAACTATATTTATATACAGTGGACCCCCGGTATTCGATATTAATCCGTTCCTGAGAGCACATCAAATACCAATATTATCGAAAACCGGAATCAATTTTTCTCATAAGAAATAATGGAAATCAAATTAATCCATGCAAACAAACACCAAAAGTAATGAAAAAAAAAAATTTTACTACATGGAAAATTAAGTTTAAATAGCAATATAAATAATATTAAACTTTTTATTAAATGACACTTACCTTTAATGAGAGATCGTGGAGATGTTGATGGGATGGGAGGAGGGGAGAGGTGTTAGTGTTTAGAAGGGTGAATCCCCTTCCATTAGGACTTGAGGTAGCAAGTCCTTTTCCGGGGTTACTTCCCTTCTTCTTTAATGCCACTAGACCAGCTTCAAGTCACTGCTGGATTTCGTCCGCACAACGATATGATCTGTCCATAGAGGCCTGCCCTCCCATTCCTTTATACATCCTAAAGTGTTTCACAACATTGTTATATTGTAATAGGTCACCAGCACCCGGAGCTTGCAATAGCATGTGTTAGGGTGACTGTCATCAAAAAAGGTTTGCACTTTAAGCCACCAGGCACACATTTCATAACATATAATCTTAATCTTTGAAGTAGAGCAACTTCTTCAGATTTCTTCTGTTCCCCTCCTCCGAAGCAGTTGTTTTCCTCAGGTCTGCCCCTTGCTGGTATCTAGATGAAACTATCAGCTCATCAGTGGTTATTCTACACTGTCCTCCACCAACTCTTCCAAATCCTCCCCACTAAAACCTCCAACCCCAAGGACTTCCCCAATGCCACATATGGATTCCAACTCGATAGGATTCTCAGGGTAGCCTCAAATCCTTCAAAATTCCCTTTGTCTACACATTCTTTGCCACAGAGAGGAGTTTTTTCCTCCAAGCAGAGGTTTCAAGGGTCCTCTTAGTCACTCCCTCCCAAGCCGTTACCTATCACAGGTTTAAACAATTGAGATAGAAAAGTTATCCTTCCAACAGTTCTTTTAGAGTAGTTGATTTCAGTGGTCCCACTACAAGCACCTTTTCAAACATAGCTTTTGGTACAGTTTCTTGAAGTTGGGAAATACCTGCAGGTCCATGGGCTGCAGGAGAGGAGTGGTATTAGGAGGCAAAAACTTGACCTTAATGAAGCTCATGTCCCCCAAAAAGTTGCTCTGCCAAGTCACTGTAGGTTGGCCTAGGCATTTTCTAATACCATGACAGGCACTTAAGTCTAATTCCTTTTCAATTAGGTAATTTTTCACAGTGGGGCAAATGCCTGGTGTAACCAGTCATAGAAAAAATCCCTAGTGACCCATGCCTTACTTTTTGCCCTCCACAAGCACAGCACAAATTAGCCTTGTATGACATTGTTTCCTGAACACTCTGGTGAGTTTCAGAGTGATACACCTTATAGGCTTCACTTTGCAATCACCACTAGCATTGGCCACACATCAACAGAGTAAGCCTGGTCTTTCATAGGCTTATGTTCCGGGAGTGCCTTTTCCTCCTGAGTATGTAGGGTCCTGCTTTGGCATTTTCTCCAAAACAGGCCCTGTTTCATCTCAATTAAACACTTTTTTTTCATGGTTTCAGGTCCTTTCACTGTCTATGTAATCCTTGAATTCCTTCACATATTTTTTCAGCTGCTTTTGGTCCGAACTGGCAGCCTCACCATGCCTAATCACACTAATGTAATTCCAAATACGATTCTAAATCTTTCAAACCAACCTTGCTGGGCCTTAAATTCACTCACATCACCATTATTTGCAGCAATTTCTTACCAAATCATCATGCAAACTAACTGCCTAGCCATTTTCACAAAATGATCGCTTGAGAGATGCTATCTCCTGCTATCTGTTTTTTCATTATCCACACCAAAAACCATTCTCAGCATTTTCTAACACTTTGCGGTCGCTGTTTCGTAATCACAAGGTCCATGCACCTTTTTTGCAAGAACAGCTGTCCTGATTGCCGTTTTCCCTGGTCACTATAGTAAGAGATGGTTGATTCGGGTTTATTAAATACAACCAGTAACCAGCTCCGACACACGCACTCCACTTTCGTACGTTTTCAATTAACTCTTTCGTGTCATTTCATAATTTCGAACTATTATCCGACTTTTTTTTTGTGAAGGGTAGGCACTAGAAGCTTTCTTGTGGGCCCATGTGATTTATTTTGCAGAAACAAAGGCCCCAAACACAGTGATAATATGGATAAATATGGAATTGTACCGGGATGTATCCTTAGAGCGTGCACACTGCTTCTTGTAAACACTGGCACACAAGGGGAAGTTCAGTGCCACAGGTACGTGACACTTCTCGTACGGAATCAATCGAATACTGGGGTTTTCAATCGACACCGAGGAAAATTTTTGCGATAAAAATGAATCGAAAACTCGGATTTAATCGAATCCGATGCCATCGAATACCGGTGGTCCGCACTGTAATTATATACAATACTGTACTACTGAGCAATAACCTCCTTCACCGTATCAATTAACCAAATTTAAAAAGAAAAACTTTCATTTTAGGCCACCCACTGCCTCAGCTGGATACGGTTGATTTGTTAACAAAAAAAAAAAAAAAAATTACTCGAGCAAAGGGCTTATATAGCCCATGAAGATATATTAAAAAACCCAAATATATAATAAAATAAGTTACCTACCTGTTGGAAGTTATTCCAATGGCTTCCTCTATCTTGCTCCAATTAATCTCACTAAGGTCACCCTCATTATAAATTCACATGAAAAAAATGGCAAGGTAAGTAAACTTAGCCAATTCCAAAGAGCTGCCAATGTCTTTCATTCACCATTACAAAACTGTTCAACAAACTACTAGAAACTAGGTCGTAAGTTGGTAGACAGCAACCGCCCAGGGAGGTACTACTGTCCTGCGAAGTGAGTGTGAAACAGAAACCAGTACATGTATTTATTTTACATGGTTTCTTTTTTCTGTCTCAAACATGCAAGATTTCAGGCAGGTCTTGCTGCTTCTACTTACATTTAGGCCACACTCCACATGCATGTACAAGCACAGTTATACACACCCCTCTGGGTTTTTCTTCTATTTTCTTACTAATTCTTGTTCTTGTTCATTCCCTCATCTCCACGGGGAAATTACTAGCCCCATGCCGGGAGCAAGGGGCTAGTAACCCCCTGCTCCTGTATACATTACTTAAGTTAAATAACGTAACAACGTAGATCTACGTTTGGACAATTAAGGGATTAATATATCCCTATCTCACCTATGGTATTTGTGCCTGGGGATCAACCAAAGCCAACCACCTTAAGCCTTTAATAACCCAACAAAAAGCTGCTCTGTGGATGATTACCAGTTCCTGTGCCAGACAGCACACACCACCACTTTTCAAGCCTGAACTTACTCAATATACAAGACATACACTCGTATTATTATGCTTACTACATATACAGAACATTAAACTTCAACATAAGCCCTCCGCTTAAACTTCTCCTTGAGAGCTACAAAAGAATGCACAGTCACAATATAATGCAGAAAGGGTTCTTCGACATCCCTCTTGTCAGTCCCACACTAATGCAAAATGCAATGAACATAAAGGGCCCGAAGATCTGGAATTCATTACCTGAACTGGTAAAGGATCCCCTGACTACATACAAATTTAGGATTATGCTTAAAATCATTTCATCTCTCATTACTAACCAAACCAACCAAAACAACCTCTAATCAGTTTGTAGCAATTCTCCCAAATATTATATTATATGACCTCTAGGTTATTAAAACATCTGCCAATCCATAAAATATTTCTGTTTGAACCTTTATAATATTGTTTTTATTATGTGCAACTTCAAGATTATTATTCTTTAAAACCTCCATCTGACCATAACCTCCCTTTAGTAAGTTACAGAGGACCACCCGCCCCACATAACGATATATAATTTCAATCCAGAAGTTCTGTTGGGTGCCGTTATAGACCCGATTTTGGTTCCCATAAGAACACTTGTGAATTAGATTAGTCCATTTCGACCCTAAAATACAGCCCAAACAAAAGCACTTACAAAAATAAACTTACAAAATAGGTTCGAGTTGGGAGCTGATTGTTATTCCCGGTCCTGGGTCCACTGTATTACCTAAAGTAACTATTTTATTAAAAAGGTTAACCACTCTTATCTTTTCCTAGATTTTAGTAGATTATTATAAAGGTACAAGGATTTGTTTTGCCCGAAAATGCCCCGGCATGATAGTTTTCTTCTTTGTACTTAACCCTTTGAGGGTTCATCCGGTAGTTCTAACAATGGCTTTGAAGCCAAGCAAGCCTGTAGGTTGGTAAGCCATGAGCTCAGCTCAGCTCAGGTGAGGCTGTGATGGGTAAATCTAGGGCCTAGATGTGAGAAAATGGATCAATGTGGTAAGTGTGCAGTGCATAATGAGAAAAAAAAACTGACCAATTCTTGGATAAAACATGACTTTTGGTGCATTTTTGTATGTATTTCAAGGTTGTATTAGCGTTTCTTGGTTCATTTTGATGGAATTGAAGATATATTACAGAAATAGAGATGATTTTGATTGGTT